GTGAGCTGTACGAGAAGGAAGTTCGTTTTCTCATGGTGGGTTATGCCTTGGGATGTGCCAGATTTCTTCTATTGCCACCTTCATATGTGGTTTTTTTTGTTTGGTATCTTAATTTTCTTATTCATTCCAGCAAGCTCATCAGAAAAATCAATTAAAAGATAGTATAGAAGTGGAAGAGCCTGAAGGTATAACCTCTTTTCCTTTTAAAGTAGCTGTCTATTCTTCTTTTATTTATAGAATTGGATATAGGGACAAACCAGGATGCAATTTGCTTTGTGAATATATGCTAACAATTGGTGCATTGTAGATATGGGAGATCCTTTAACTGCCGAGGAGCAGGAAGAAAAGGACAAATTATTAGAGGAAGTAAGTGGATTAATAACTCGTCATTGGATGTTATATCTACTCCCTGCGGTTCAATTTATGACACTTTCCGAATTTCAAGATTCAAACAAGTCCATCTTTGATTGTATTTTTTCATATATATATATATTTTTAAATATTTTGAATTGTCAATTATTATGATTTGGTACTTTTTACGTAGTTTCCAAATATATGAATTTTATTTCAAAACACATGGTCAAACTCAAACCGATTAACTCTTGAAATTCGAACTGTGCCTCATAAATTAGGACAAAGGGAGTAGCTTTTATGTATCAGAATTAATGATTTGTACATGCAGGGATTTTCAACATGGAGTAGGAGAGATTTCAATACTTTTATCAGGGCATGTGAGAAGTATGGTCGGAATGACATAGAAAGTATTGCTGCTGAAATGGAAGGAAAGACAGAGGAGGAGGTTGAAAGATACGCAAATGTTTTCAAAGAAAGATACAAAGAGCTAAATGGTAAGTGCTAGTTAATTTGCAAATACAGAAAGAACTATATGTCCCAATCTCCAATCCACATTGAACATCCAATTATTATATGATACAATTGCTAACACGAGAGTGGTAAATACCATTAAAGTTCAAGTGGGATAAAGCATGGTGCACATGCTTCCTTTTATTTTTGTGTCGAAGTACCGGCAAGGAGAGGTGATGCTGTTGCTTCTCAATAAGATGAATTGAAATGGTAAAGAAGTGTGCTTAGAATAGGGTGGATGAAATGGAAAAGAAGTGAGCATGTGAAGAGGAGATGTATAGACTCCCCAACAAGGAGGTGCAAGAGGTTAACTATAGTAGGTATGAGGAGAAGTAGAGGTGGATCGAAAAAGATTGGGACTTGGGAGAGGTGATTAGATAGGACATGACAGTCCTACAACTTATTGAGGACATAACCCTAGATAAGAAGATTTGGAGGTCGAGGATTAGGATAAGATTAATAGGTAGTTGAACGTTGTCTATTTTTCTTGTTAATATTGTTTTTGTTACTCTCCTATTATCTTATTCTTTGCTTTTTATGTCTCCTTTGGATTCAGTTATCATATTATTTGTTGTTGTTGCAATTCTCTACTCCATTATTTTTTCTCTGGCTTTTTGAGTACTGTATTTATTTACGTACTTCATTTTTTATGTGTTACCTGAGCCAAAGGGTTGATTGAAAACAACCTCTCTATCTTCTTAAGGTAGGGGTAAGGCTGCTTACACATCAACCCCCTAAACACCACTTGTGAGATTACATTGGGTATTATGTTGTTGAAATACGAGTGTGCTGGAATGAGCAAATTGGATCCTATGCAACTGTTAAACACAATATTGTATTGGGTGGAATTCCCTTTTAGGTTTTGGAATGTTAGTTATTAAAAAAGGTGTTCTAATTTTGGGAGGGGATTGTGTTTATGACGTTCTTTCATTGTCCTAGTGTATATGCTTGTTTTGTTTGAGAGGCAGAGGGATTAGACCCATCAAAAAGCAAAAATAAAATGTTTGATTTTCCTGTTATTTCTTTGTTGCAAAAAGCCACTCCATGATGGTAATCTAAAGGTTCCTTTTCTTTGGAAAGTTGGTGTAAGATTTCATAAATGGTAAATTTGCACTATGCTAGTGCTACCACATATGGTAATAAAGGTTCTTTCTTCATCTAGTTATGGTTCTCATCTTCACTATACATCACCATTTAGTTTATTATGTGATTGTTCTTGTAATGCTCATGTTCTACACAAATTTTGTAAACTAAGATTTATATCACATTTCATCCATGTTATAAATATTCTCCAGCTAATAATTCTATTTAAACAACTTTCACAGGGTTAAAGAACCTATTGAACTATTCAAAGTTATTGTTTTTGATATGTAACTATTCACAGTTAAACCCAATTATGTTATTGCTATTGAACATACTTTTCAACTATTTTCTTCTATTACTATTTGCTAGTGATATATAGAAGTCAAATTGGCATCATAATCTATGTGCACAGCGAACTGGTATTATATAAATTGAGATTGCGGGAGTATACATTGTGTTGCTAGATGGTTGATAATAGGCCTACACCTCTATCTCTACTTAAGTGCCAAGTTTTTGTCTACGATAGATTCAAACTCAAACTCGTGACATACACCTAACTTTCACATCATATGTTGTGCCTTCAGAACTACATCAAAGCCCTGGGGCCATACTAATTAACATTGGAAAACTAGAAAAAGAGGAGCAGACAAATAAGTTCTTGATGTTCAGGCAGAAACAAAGTTCCCTCTTGTGGCTAGTTTTTTGCACTAGATAACATTTGTCATGCTTGACATTTGAGCACTTAGTTTCTAATGAATAGAGTGCTTGCAGATTATGATAGGATTATAAAGAATATTGAAAGAGGAGAGGCTAGAATTTCACGAAAAGATGAGATCATGAAAGCAATTGGGAAGAAGTTGGACCGCTACAAAAATCCATGGTTGGAGTTGAAGATTCAGTATGGTCAGAACAAAGGAAAATTGTATAATGAGGAGTGTGATCGTTTCATGGTAAGCAGACTAAACTTTTGGGGGCTTTAATCTTTTACTATTTATCTTTGTGATTCATGTATATGGCGATCTTTTCTTTTGTAGATATGTATGGTTCACAAGCTTGGCTATGGAAACTGGGATGAGCTGAAGGCTGCTTTCCGAACGGCACCTTTGTTTCGGTTTGATTGGTTTGTGAAGTCTCGGACGACTCAAGAACTTGCCAGAAGATGTGATACACTTATTCGTTTGGTGGAGAGGGAAAACCAAGAATTTGATGAGAGGGAGAGACAGGCACGCAAAGAAAAGAAGCTTGCAAAGGTATGCCTGGGTCCTCTTTGTGCTGTTTGCAGAGTAAAAAGATATTTAGTGCTAAAAGTGTTTTGTATTGACAGAACGCGACACCATCAAAGCGCGCTGTGGCAAGACAGGCAGCCAAAAGCCCTCCCACCTCAAAGAAGCGGAAGCAGTCATCAATGGATGATTATGTGAGCTCGGTAAATATTTGTGCAATGATTTTATGTCTTTTGGTTTGAGCCCTCCCCACTTGTGACTTACTATTGTGCATATGACTGTTTCCACTTTATACAGGGCAAGAGAAGAAGTGATGGTACAACTTAGACAGACTTTTCTTTTTGTGGTTTAGGTCCCCTTTTTAAGTTTAACCAGGTTTGTCATCCAAGACACTAACTATGCAATTCTGTCAAGTGCTACAGAGGAAAACCCTACCAGTGTATTCAGATATGATGTGTAGGTTCATTGTACATAATCACAATAGAATTCTATTTAGGCTAGTCTTATCAATGTGGCGTGACACTAGTATGTAACTTAGATCAACTTGCCAATTTTATGATTTTGCCAGCTCGCTACTATGCTCTTGTTTGGTGCACATTTTTATATGCATATGCATTTTTCGTATGAAAAGAAAAAGAACCTTGCTTGTTTAATAACACTAGGTATGTAGAACAAATGACAAGTGAACCTTTGCACATTGAATGGAAAAAATGAGCTTGATCAATTAACCATGCTAGTGAAGCCTTGAAGATGATCATTTAGGTCTGATGAATTTATATTAGTATGGTGATGAGTTTTATTAACGTCCCAAGCTTTACGTTAGGATGTTTGACAGTAAATGAATTTCTGCAAGCTAATATATATTATCAATTAATAATATAGGTATGAGGCAAGCATATATAGAAGATAATATCAACTCCGTGAATCAACAATTTGATAAATATTTGTATGATGATGAAAATGAATATGCAATATTAGCGAGTTCACAACTCTACGTCAATTTTATTTCATTGAATACATAATTTTTTATTTATTGTTTGGTTAATTAAACATTAGTTATTTTCTTCTTAGTTTTGATTTAGTTAAATCACCATTATAAATCTTGATATTTTATAACTTGAATAAATAATTTGTGTTAGTTTAATTATGTAAACGGTTAACCACAAGTTCCTGTGAGTTTGATATATAATTGCTTGCAATAACTTTATTTCTTGTGTGACCATATACACTTGCATGTATAATTGGCTGCAACAAGGCCTAAAGTCCACGTGATAAACGTATTTTTTTCTATGTTTTTTTTATTTTTTACAAAGAGTATTTTTTGACCACGTCATTGGGACACATATCCTTTTTCTTTGGTCACGTAGTCCTTTGCTCATTCTCGATGAAGACCTCTCTCCAAAAGACTAATTTTGCCAATTTTTTCTTTTGTCACTACTTTTCTTTTTATTTCTAGTGCCACATTTTAAAGAAAATTTAACCCAATACGACATTCTTTTTGTGAGTAATATAAACGTGTTTTTTGAACGAAATAATATTTTTTAAATTTCTATATTGACTGATGGTCTTTAAAATGTGTTGACACTGCATGGAAATAAAAGTATAGTTAAGGGAACATGTTCCTCATTTTGTCTTTGTCAAGATTCTAGTTTTATTAAAACCCCTTTAATGTGGTAATGCAGAATTATACATAGTTGTGTAATCATTATATTATGTCATGTTCTTGAAACTTGAAATATGGTACAGAGAGGGAGAATGGGGATGCATACAATTTGGTTATGGAAGGAATGAGCGAAGCATGTTTTAGTTTGAACTTGTAAAGCTGGAATGTATCCAAAATATTTACTCAAACCCCTTTTCTATAAAAGCCAAGACGGAAAATCCTTACAGATGGAAACTACAACAGAATACAAGGTGCAACAATGGAATTAATTATACAAGGGACATCCGAAACCATATCCACCAAGATCCTTCATACAAAGAACATATAAGAAGAGAAAGTTAGATAGGTTCCCCACTTCTCCTGTACCATAAACTCTACAACAAACCCCATAACACATAGGATTAACATGTTGCCACAATGCAGCAACCATTTACCCCTCCCCCCCAACTCTACTCCCACATTGCACCATCAACCTGATTTCCCTTTCATTTTAACAGTGGTTTCCTTCGACCACAACAGCGGAAACATGTAAGTTTACATTGAACAACAGTGAATAACCTTCAATCAGCAAACACAGAAAGTAGGACAGGACTATTACTTTCAAGCTGAGTATGGAAAAACCAAGAACTCAACGATTATGCAAATGCAGTACCTCGTGTTTGCATCATGACGATCAACACCTATATTCCTAGAAATCCTTGCAACATATATTGTTGCGTAAATCAATCATTTATCCCATCAAAACTGCTACCCCTTGCATTCGTCTTCTTTTTGTCTCTCCAATTTTCGCCCCATACCTTAGCTTCAGCAACTGCACGTTCCCTGTCTAGATCTCGATTCCTTGGGGTTTCTCTAGTTCTACCTGCACTGACAGGGCTGTTCCTTTGAGAATCAGGACGTTCTGATTCATCCAAACCCCACTTACGACCAGATCCACCGCTAGTTGCAATTTTCCTCAACTCTATCCCAGTATTGAAATCCCTAGCGGAATCTCTTTTCCTGGAATCAGGAGAATTCCTCTGGATGGAAGGAGAACCATGGTGAGCACTGCTATATTCAGGGCTATCTACTCCATCAACCGAGTGCAGTCTATCCTCTCTGCTCCTTGGAGTGGATGAACCAACACGGTTACTTTGTGCACCAACTGCATTAGGGTCATAAGTTTGAGAGGCCAAATATGATAAAGCTGTCACAACATCCCCAATTAAGGGTCTAGTAGATGCTTGTTCTTGCAAGCACATTGCTGCCACAGCCAGTGCCTGGTAAAGTCCTCGCATTGGGTAGCGACCTTGCAATAGTGGATCTGCCATTTTCGGGAACTTCCTCCGATCCTTGAATAGTGGTCGAGCCTGCAAACACATTTCTCAATGTATAAAACATGGCATAAGATATATTCTACCTTTAGAAGGTGTAAAAATGAACTAAAGGAAAAACAGATCTTCTGCACATCAAATGTCAAAGAAATCTAAGAAACAGACGACACACATCATAATGACCAAATACAATGGCAGAGAGGAGGACATACCCAGGCAACAAGATTATGCTCCCCATGACTCCGAGTATTATCAATTGCTTTGCGGCCTGTTATCAGCTCAAGGAAGACAACCCCAAAACTGTACACATCAGATTTTAATGTGAGTTGACCTGTCATTGCATATTCAGGAGCACAGTAACCATATGTGCCCATCACACGTGTAGACACATGAGTCTTGTCACCAACAGGGCCCAGTTTAGCAAGCCCAAAATCTGATAATTTAGGGTGATATCCTTCATCAAGAAGTATGTTGGAAGATTTTAAGTCTCGATATATTACAGGAGGGTTGGCTTTGTCATGCAGATATTCTAAGCCTTTAGCTGCACCAGCTGCAATCTTCATCCTTGTATTCCAGTCCAATGGTTCTTTATTAGGTGGAAGATCTGCATACATACTCCAAATAGAAGGATTAGGTCCCACTGCGTAATCTGCATTGTTTCTATTACAGAAGTATCAACACAACACAAAACAATCAACATTACAGATCTATTCAGCTTTAGGCAATGGAAACTTTCATTTAATTGTACCAGAATAATGCAGAGAGAAACTTATCAAATGGAGGGATAGAAATATAATTGAGAGCATTCTGTCGAGCATCTTTACATACATTATGTCATTGCTTTACACACCATCAAGTGTTGCAGATAAATTGGAAAGGCGCTAAGGGAACTTTTTTTCTCTGATGAAGTAAGGCTATGTATAGCTGGCATCAAGAAGATGCAAAGTTACAAAAGATATGTTAGCTCCAATAACAGTAGGCCTAAAAGCAAAGGGAGCGAATCAAAAGCAAAAGAGGGATATTGAGCCAATGAAATCTACAAAAGAACCTATGTCATTCTCATGTGATTCGGAAAATGGGAATAGGAAGTTTTCAACGAGGCCCTACTAGGAAAATGATTATGGTGATTCAGGATTAAGGAGAAAGATCTATGGAGGGAAGTTAGAGCGAAAAAGTAGAATTATAGGAGAAGTCGAGGACTAAAAATATCACACTTTCCTTTTGGCTGCAGATTCTGAAGAAAATTTTCTTGAATAATGAAGAGTTTACTACTACAACACTATTGGGTAGTTTGGTTGCTGGTTAGAGAGGACTGCAGAGTTATCCATGTATTAAAACTAGCATAACTTTATACAATTTTTGGTTTCAAAAAATACAGAAAAATAATCTCCATATAGAATCTAGTTTAAGTTATACAATGTTTTGATTGACTTTCTCTTTTTCACATAAAACATAACATTGTTAATACAATGTTTGGTTCATGTTTACATTTTCTGCAAAACTAATACATGTATAGGTTACAAGGGAATCTACCTTTTATTTTATGCAGGGTAGAAGATGGCATAACTATTCCTTGCATTACTAATACTTGTATAACTTTAACCAGCAGCCAAACAGCCCCTAAGAGTTTTTTGTTCTTTACAGGTATTATAAGCAAAAAGCAAAAAAAATGTCCCATTTATATACTTACAGGGGATCTATGATAGCTATTAAAGATTCAATAATGCACCATCTAAAATATCCTTTTTACAGAAAAAGAGGAAAGCAAATACGCAATTGAACTTGATCTTCGTAAGGAAACTGACTATCTTCAAAACACCTTCATTTCCTCTCTCCACATTGTCCACCATATGCAAGAAGGATGATATTCCATCATTTCTTTTAAATGGTGGTGTTCGGCCAACTTGCATTGCAATTCGACTAGTTCAAATCCTAGTAGAGGAAAAAGCATTAAGTGACCTCATGGTTCTCAGTCAATTTTGTTGACTACTAAGCCACACCCTTGAGTTTTTCCACCATTTGATTTACCTCCTTAAGTTTCCTTTCCTTGAGAAGTTCATGACATCCCTTGGTAATCCATTTGAGCAACCATGTTTATGTTTACGCATAACCGCTAACGTTGATAAGGTATATTAAGAAAGGATGGGAAGACTTCATCGGCAATATAAGGGGATAGAAGAAGAATAAGTTTTTGAAGTTACATGTAGTGTGGAGAGACATCATGACTCACATTCCCAAATACTCATAGTAGAAGATGATAATACGACAGATTCAAAGGTTACAATAAGGGGAATTAATTGGGACGTAAAGGTCCAGAGGAGCCTTCTGAGGAGGAACCTTTGGAATGGGGAAATAGTTGATTCAAGATCTAATTGAATTGTTTTGATTGAGGAGACTCGCAGTGGAGTTAACAATAGGTTGGAGGTGTGGAACATACACAAGAGTCTAAAGGATTCAAGTTAAGTAGGACCAAAACGGAGTGTAAATTCAGTGATGTGACGCATGAGGTAGGCACGAAAGTGAGACTTGATACACAAGTTGTCCCCAAGAGAGAGATATGTAAGTATCTTGGGTCTTTGATCCAAGGAAATAGGGAGATCAACAATGATGTCACGCATCGTATTGGTGCGACATGGATGAAGTTAAGCTTGCATCAAGAGTCTTGTGTGATAAGAAAGTACCACCAAAACTTCAAGATAAGGTCTATAGAGTGGTGGTTAGCCGACTTTGTTGCATGGGGCGAAGTGTTGGCCAATTAAGAATTCCCATGTTTAAAAAATGCAAGTGGCGGAAATGAGGATATCCGAAACAAAATCGGAGTGCCCTTGTGGTGGCCAAGATAAAGGAAGGGGAACTGAGATAGTTTGGGTATGTGAAGAAGAGTTGTGCGGAGGTTGCAATGATGAGGTGTGAGAGGTTGGACATAGTAGGGATGAAGAGAGGCAGAGATAGGCTGATAAAGTATTGGAAAGAGGTGATTAGACAAAATATGATGCATCTTCAGATAATGGTCAAAGGTAAAAGGGTGTGGAGATCGCAGATAAGGGTCGAAGGTTAGTTGGTAGTCGAGCATCATCTAAGTATTAGCCTATTCATGTAGTCGTTGGCTTGGTGGTAGTCTTAGCACCATGTATGTTGAAGTACTAGCCTATTCATGTAGTCTTTTGACTTTTGGTGTCTATTATCATTTGTTGTTTACTATGTTTAGGTGATCGCACCTTGTTGTTGATGTTATGGTTTGATTTGCTTCACTTGAGCAAAGGGTTTTTCAAAAACAGATGGTCTACCCCAAAGAGGTATAGGTGGTGTGCGTACACTTTACCCTCCCAGGATCCCACTTTGTGAGATTTCACTAGGTATGTTATTGTTGAAGGTCTAATTGAATTACTTCACTAGCAAAGTACATCACATGCTAGTCAGGACTTATGGAGGTGGGACAGAGGGAGGGGGTAAGAGATGACTTGTTTTCAGTAAAATTCATGTTATCCTAAGCTCTTCGTAAGGGGGGAGTAGAATTTTCCACATTTGTGCGGTTGGATTCACATGACACCAACAAAAGTGTGTCGTTTCATTTGGTTGGTAGCGACGAAAACAATATTGACAATTGAGAATTTGAGGAAAAAGTAAACTATACATGTGTGCTTCATGTGCAAATCTCTAGGTGAAGATGTGGACCACCTCCTTTTACATTGTCTGTTGCAACTTGCTTGTGGTGTGAAATCTTGAGATGGTCTGGGATGATTTTGGCAATGCTTCACTATGAAGGAAGCATTCTCCAACCAAGAACCTAGAAGGACGAAAGGTTGAAAATCCTAGGTTGTTGCACTACTAGCACTCACATGGATTTCGTGGGAGGAAAAAAAAAAAGAGAGCCTTCAAGTTGGCACAGACACCACCGTCATTAAAAAAAGAGATAGCCTCTCATTCCTAGTTTCTTTTCGGTACACCCATGAGGTGCTAGTTTGTTTAGAAGATTGAGTGTCGTTGATAGATAATCAATTTTTGTGGTAGATTCTACACTTTTTCGGCAATTGCTTGTATACCAGGGATTTTTCATATTAATAGAACTGTTTACTTATGACTCAAAAAAATGCAAAGGTAAAGCATATCATCCAGACACTGTTACAAGTATATCTGGTGCATGGAGTATATTTTATTCCCCAGTATCAAAGTGGTTAAATTAATTTTTGTGCAGCTATCACTATTGCTTGATATATCCAGGAAAGTGACCATGACTTACCTGTTTGCTTACCTTAAGTTTAGGACTATGGCATTTGTGACATTATGAACTAAAAAGACATTGAATATTCAGAAACATACACTAAATGTTGAAACAAAAACAGTTTGATACATTATACATTGGTTCGTCTGTACGCAAGTCGTAAATGTGCAAATTTGGAAAAGAACCTAGCCGGAAACCACAGTTCTTCCTCCCCTCCCCTGGTTTAAGAGAACTCAAATCATGATCTTTTTCACTCAATTCTCTTGATGAGTGCACTGGAAAGACATCAATCTTCAAAAGAGCAATTCTATTTATGTGGCTATATCAGATTTCAGCACCAAATATTTGAAAAATCTATACACAGCCTATCACTGGTAAGAGAGATATTTCCTATTCCTGTTTGCTAAGATCGACAAAAAGGAGAGGAGAAATGAGCTAAAGGTAGGCAAGTCTTGTATCCTAGACATGCTAAATGCACACATTCATGTAAAGTATGCAAAGAACTTAAGTCTGGGAACTTCAGAGAATAAGACATATACTCTTTCTATTCAAGTTAATTACAACTCACCAAATTACTCTCCCAATGCTACGCCCAAACCTTCACTAACCATGACATGTTAGGAGGTCTATTTTTAATTATATATATATTTGGAAAATTGTCAGTTAATATTTTTATAGAGAGCAATTTACATCAGACACATTTAGAGGGTGTTTGGATTGATTTAAAAGTTGGTCAAACCTACTTTTAAGCCAGTTTTGACTTAAAAGTTGGTCAAACCTACTTTTAAGCCGGTTTTGACTTCTTGAAGTGTTTGGCAAATATAAAAATAACTTAAAATAAGTCAAAAATGACTTAAAAAAGTTGGGTAGTGTTTGGCAAAATTAAAAATATCTTACAAATTACAATAAGTTAAAAATGACTTAAAATAAATTAAAAACCAAAAGTAGGTCTCCCCCTACTTTATATTTTTTGACTTAAAAGTCATTTAAGTTTGACTTATTATTTTTGACTTAAAAGCTACTTTTTTAAGCCAATCCAAACGGGCTCTTACCCTTGCCAATTCGACAAAAGATCTGACAGCAGAAAGTTCACAAACATAAAAGCTAAATCACAAAATTCTACCCTTTTTTCCTATTGATTTTGGCATGTAATGCTTATTTCTGAATGGGAGGGGGTAGGAAGAGGTTTCTTAATCAATTATTCCTTTTCTCTCTCAGTAATACAATCAACAACTCCAGCCAGCCCATGTTGATAACATTCTTTTTCTATTGCACATACATGGTAGATCCATAGTCCTTGACCTCCAGCCCTAGCTTGCCTGAGCTGCTTACTGCAACCTCAATCATATCCTCCATTTCCTTTTCATTATTCTGCTGTTCCTTAGGTTTCAGACCATCAAGATATAAATATAAGTGGTGTTAAAGACTTTCTAGTGGAAGTAGGTTGCCGTCATATGGCAAAGGCTTTGCTGAATATTTGCATGAGTTCCTTGGCTCTCTCACTGCTTCATAAACCCACAACATTGGTGAGACAATTTTGCACGCTTTCTTTGGGTTCCCAAGTGAAATTTCCAGCACCGGTAGCAGATGCATTATCAAGCATGAGTACCCAAAATGTTACAGCACAATAGTGATATCATTCACTTGAACGACCCCACACTAGAGCTGGAAAATGGGGGCCAAAGGTCGTTAAGGTCCCTTAATAGGTATTAGAAGGCAGAGTTAGATCTTATATGAATCTACTTATGTAAATTCAATTTTTCAAATAATAACAGGTTAACTTCTTTAAAAAATAATATATAATTTATCAATCTCCAACAATAGCACCTACTAACCACACAATAGTGAAAAGAACATGGAATTCACTGTGTATAGGATGATTTAGTTCAAATAACTTCAGAAATACAACACCCTTCAATGTGAGGGCAATGTCAACTGAAACAACTATATGCAACAGAAAATTGCTGAATACAATTACAATGATGAATACTATGCTGGTGCCAGTCACTGTCATGCTAATGCCTGTTACTATAGCAGGCAGATGCCAAATAGAATTTCTATGTTTATTTCATGAACTTGCGTTATAATTTCTACCACAGCAAGAACAACCTCTTCAACCAAAGGAAATATTCCCTTTCCACAGTAAAGACTAATCACTGCTTGTAGATGTTCAAACGCCATACATCAATTGATAATCACCTAAGCAATGTCTTAGACAGATTATTCCAGTAACCAACCATAATCGAACATTGGTACAATAGCCAACTCTTGTTGAGACTGCATCAGTAATTCATGTAATACTCTAATGTTGCTCAAATTAGATTGCAACATCTACCATATTTCTGAGTAAATTATTCCACTGTCACCAGCTTTATCCATATTACAACCCCTTCATTGGAATGTTCACAAATAAATAGAAGACCCAAAAGGAAAGAGTGGGGTGCCACAAAACCAAGGATATCAAAAGGAATGGTAAAATAAAAAAAATAAAAAAAGCACCAATGTAATACAAATCAGCAAGCACTGTCTCATCTAATTTCTTATGTTGTAGAATGTTGCAGTTGTTTTGATTTGGTCAGTTAATCTTGAAAAGCTCCATTAGCATGTTCAGACCATGCTTAGTCCATTCATCATTCAGCTAAGTTAGAACTTGGTCTTAATGTTACTAAAAAGCCATATTCAGATATAAGACTTTCATATGCGCTCTGTATATGAACTGTAATAGTCTAACCCATTCCAAGGCATCATGTATCCATTTGAACGAATGCAAGGTAAGGCTGCATATAATAGACGCAATGTGGTCCGACCCTTTCCCGGACCTCACGAATAGAGGGTCTTCAGTACTGTTGAGTCCCACATCAGTGAAATGAGAAGAATTGGGACTCTCTATATGGTCTTGGGAAATCCTCCCTTCATGAGCTAGCTTTTGGGGTTGAGTTAGGCCCAAGGTCTATTTAACAAGTACATCTGGCTACCCTTTTCTTATAGGGAAAAGGGGCAAGATTCTAGTGCGTAAATAGCTATTCATGATGAACCAAATTATAACTGCATTGTGCAAGTCACTATATAAATTGCAGTAAATGGACTAACCATGTAAATGATCCTCTAAAGAACCCAATGGCATAAACTCGTAAACAAGGAGGCGTTGGTCCCCATCTGCACAATAACCAATCAGATTGACGAGATTTGGATGATGTAGTAGGCTAAGCATCAGAACCTCCACCAGAAACTCCCTATTCCCTTGAAGACCATTGCGATCAAGCTGTTTAACAGCAACCACCTGCAAAGAGACCATTCCGACACAACCAAGAGTGAAATTGCAAATCAGTGTGCAATTGAAGATTCTGACATTTAAAATTCTCTTTCCTATGCTAACATATTTCTCTCTAAATAGTTATCCTATGCTAACATTTGCTAAACCTAACCTAAAGTTGGCTAATGATTTGCTTCTGCATTACAGAATTACATTGTTATAAAGTAACACCTACCTGTCCAGTGCTTTCCAGCCGACCTTTATAAACACGCCCAAATCCACCTTCACCAAGCAAAGACTCAGGCCTAAAGTTCTTTGTTGCAGCAGCAAGCTCACGAAATGTGAATGTCTGCGCAGCAATATGTGCTGTAGGTCCATCTTTTGGAATGGTTGGATCTTTCTTAGGATCATGACTTCCACGAGACTTTGATTTATCTGTATATAAGAAACCAACATTAAGCCAATACCAATAAAGAAGAAAAATAAACAAGTCATTTCATAGCATTCTTATTGACACATAATCCTCATTGTTGATAAGAGATAGACCATAAAGAATTTTGGCATACCATGGTTTAAGATGAACTTCTTCTCCTCCCAATTAGTAATCCAAAAGTTCTCCCAGTTAAAATTGCTTGTGAAGTTAACACAAGTTTCACTTTCATCTACTTGAAAGCCCTCTCACACCCCCCCCCCCAACCCCCCCCCCCC